TCTCATCTCAAGCCTTCTTATTTGGCTTTACTGAAACTTGGGAAATAAAAGGTGCCATACACTACCTTTCCATTACCCTACCAATTTGTTTTCCTCAAATATGTGACTTTATTCTCAATCTGTTTTTGCATAGCATGCAAAGCCAGATTTACAATTAAAGACACTAAAAGCCTTTCTACATGACATAAATGTGGCATAAATATGCCCTAACAACATATTTTTTTGCCTAGTTTTTCAATGGTGCCTTCATCTTGTCCCCCACTGATGAGTGAAGCAGCCATACAGTATTCTTAGCCATACCAGTGTTAAATCAGTGTGTTCACTTTATTTCAACACCATCCAAGAACACCCTTGACAGAACTGAAACGCTTATACAAAATCAATATCATCTGTTAGGGCATGCATACATAAACTCCTACTCAGATATGATACGGAGAAAGACGAAATTAAAAATTGCATGATGAAATGGATGCAAATGTTTAGAGAAACAGTCACAATACAACAATGGGAAGAATTGTGGACCAATTCCATAAAATTTACTCCCAGTTATAATCTATAAGAAAACTGGTATAAAATGTTTTAAGATGGCACACAAATGGGTCAATAATTTCCAAGGTAGACAAATCATACAGTAACAAATGTTGGAAATGTCATGAAGCAGAAGTAACATTATACCACACGTGGTAGACGTATAAAAAAACTCAAAAATATTGGAAAGACATACTGTACATAGTACAGTAGAGAACTTTAGAAATTACATCTGAAATGAAATCAGAGTTTTTTTACCAAGTATAATCCCAGAATGCATTAATAAGAAACACCATAATTTTCTGAGATATATGCTCACAGCTGTGAGGATAAACTTTGCCGAACGTTGGAAGAAAGATACAACACTGACGATATATGATTGGGAATTTAAACTTGGAGAATATGTAGCAATGGAGAAACTAACAGCTTACAGGTAGTCCTTGCTTAATGTTCATTCATTCTTCAACTGCTCAAAGTTAAAACGGCGCTGAAAAAATGGAATTGCGACCAGACCTTAAACTTACAACCATTGCAGCGCTCCCGCAGTCACATAATAAAAATTCAAGCCAGCCCACATTTACAACCACCCTACAGCTGTCCCCTCAGCTGACCTACATCATCTTCACTTGCCTCCCCTCAGCTGAGCTCAAAATCCCAGGAACACA